GTGCTCAGATCCTCCCCTCAGTATGAACCCCAACGTCCGATGGCTAATAGTACCAGTTCTATGTTGATTAACAAGTCTTCTGGCGTAGCTGGTGTGCGTCTCGTTTTTTGCTGTGCCGATCTTAATTCCCAAGTCTGCCATTCTGGCGAGTGATGTGGATTCACTGCCACCAAAGTCCTCTATTCTTCCCATTTCTCTGAGGGCATTGATAATATCAGCATGATCCATAGGCTGACCGTCGGTAGTGATAGCGGATCCAGCCAACCTGTCAGCTCTTTCATTTCCATCGACGCCTGCGTGTCCCGGAACAAAAATAAAGGTGACTCCACGAACAGTGGACTTCTGTAATGATTCAAGCCATTGTCTTCGCACTGAACCTGCCTGAACCCTCCGGATCATACTCATTGAATCACTGAGTATACACACGCGGGTGTATTTTTGTGTTTCAAGCCAGGCAAGCGCTTGTGTCACTGCCATCACCTCCATCGTCATGCTGCTGGTTGTCATGGAGAAGGCGCCGTTGGCTTCTTTGACTGTTCTGCCCGCTGAGCGTGCTGTAAATGCCCATGCGCTTCTTTTTTGGCGTATAACGGATCCGTCTGTATAGATTATTGCATCTGCTTCGTCTGAATTTTCACCGATGAGAGCGTTGACCTCTGCATTAACAGGATTCTCTTCTCTACATCGCCTGTTGAGTGTGACAATACAGGAAAATGTACAAATAAACGCCTGAGGCACAGGTATCCATTCTGCACCAGGTATGATGTCGGTTAGGCTGCATATTTGCCTAATGACATCTTCTGCCCGACCTAGCCACGATTTCCCCCTCTTCAGTCTGTCGCCCTTTTCACTAAAAAGCGCTTGATGCAGTGGGTGTTTCTTATCAGCGCATATTAGGAGATATGCCCGAGCCCTCCACATCCTGATCCTTTGGTTCATTGTTGGAAAGTCAAGTAGATACCTCATTGCTCCACAGGATGTGTCTCTAGTACATCCCAAAATAATGCGCATGGCTTCATTTTGCACCTTTTCGAGTCGTTCAATCTGGGTAGCACTGACAGTGAGGATGGCCAGAGCGTATTCTATGGGGGAAAGGACCAGACCGTAGAATAGAAGTATTAGTAGTCTTTGCTCAATATTGGAAGCAGCCATAATCCTCATTGCAGATAGACCTTTGCGTGCTTTTGTTATCACATGGTCAACGTGTTCCCTGAATGACAAGCTGCGATCGAACCTCACCCCGAGAAACGTCATAACGTTGGTTCTGATCAATGCATTATCACGCATTTTCACTTCTGGTAAGTCCGACTTGACAATGTGATTGTTCAAAGAGAACCATGACACTGATGCCTTCGAAGGATTGACATAGGCATTGGAACCATCACACCAGGCCGCAATTCGATCGAGTTCTTTGTGCATAGTGCTGGCGATCTCCTGTCTATCACGCCTTCGTCGATAAATCAAAATGTCATCAGCAAATGACAAAGTCCTTCCCTTTCCATTCAACTGCTGCTCAGTGATCATCACCGTGTAAACGTTGAATAAGACATACATACTCCTCTACTACTATGAAGTGGAGACACAAAGACATACACAATATCCAACAAGAATCCATCAAACAAAATAGTATCCATTTAATAAAATGAACTGTTTAATAGTCTTACTATGTTATGAATGACACACATACAAATCAATTTTAACTCTTAAAATCATTGTAGTATAATTGTACATAAATTCCGGGATTGATTAACACTCGTACTAAAATATGTAGCGCATTGCATACAATCAGTTATTGCTGGCATCTTTCTGACTTTCTGGATGACAGTGTGATACTGTGCATGAGAATCACAGTCCACGGTGATGGCGAGTGTGACTAGCATGACTTGCTGATGCTAAAGAGAAGTCTTCCACAGTAAGAGCATGGGATTTCACAACCATCACTGCCATCACCTGTGTTTAATGTGCTTTTCCGATGCTCAGCTCTCAGCCTGTCTGCAAACATTGTCTCCTTGATTCCTATTCATCTCCTAATGTTCCTCCTACAGTCAACAGGGTCCATGGTATTTTATTCCCATGAGTCTACTTCAACACTTGTATCATTCATGTCTCATTAGCCTGTCTTTATATTGTAGAAGAGATCCACCTCTGTAGAAACAAAGGCAGACCCAAAAACACATGGAGAAGAGAGCTAGAGAGGAAAGATACAAAAAACCGGGAGGACATGGGGTGAGCTGTGTGCGATAGCAAGGATAGGACAACTTCCAGTGAGCTTGGGAAGGCCTATGCTCCACTGGGAGAAATAAGGAGCAGAAAAAGAGACTGATTCCCGCTCTCACAAAACACGTCTGTAATTTACATTTACTTATCATAAATACGGGAGTCGCCGTGGGCGAGCGACTAGACGCTCGTCGCGAATCGGAAGGTTGTGGGTTCGCTCCCTGGCAGAGCCGGACTTTTTCAGAAATGACCTTGGCTCACAAGTCGACCCAGCCTGGAGTGGGTACCGGGTACAGTCCCGGAAAGTAAAGGCGGCCGGCGTGATGCTGACCACATCAACCATCTTGTGCCGATTGGGCTATAACAATTTAGGTCTATCCCTTTATGCCCTATATGCCTACAGGCGTGGGAAAGAGTCCCTAACTTTTTTTTTTTTAAACTTATCATAAATACACATTGATTACAGCAATACAGAATAAAAAGTATGAGACCCCGCTGAAGGACAACCAAAGTGCTGGAGGAAAGACAAATTGAAAACAGCAACATTGTTTTCCTGTGTTGTTGTGACTGTGTATAGTTAGGCTGAAGTTGTTTGCTGTATGCCTTGATCATTTCCCATGTTGAAGGATCTTTAGAAAATATTTCACTGTTTTTGTGTGTGTGTGTGTAGAACAATTTGGAAAGATGGTGAAAGCTTTGTCTTTTCAGTCGGTTTTTTGTTAGGTTATTTGCTATTCCAGGCATAGACAGAAAAGCTGAAGAATGTGACCTAGTATTGCATGCAAAGACCCTTGAACATGTCTACAACTGTTATCCAAAACCTGAATGGACACAGGTAAACACCGATGGATCATTGGGGGGAGCAGAAAAAAAAAGAGAGGAGCTGGATCGGTCATCATGCTGCAAGATGAGACCACAGTAAAAACGTCATGCACCTCTGGAATACTCTCAACAAACTTCAGAGCAGCAAGCAATTATTGATTCAGCCAAAGACCTTAAGGAGAGGAAAATTAAAAACAGCAAAACTGTTTTCTTTTGGGACTGCATGTCAGTCCTCCAGATGAGGAATGCACAAGACAACATGGAAAGAGAACTGACCCGCCAGCTAAACAGACTTACAGAAAACAATGAAATCATTCTCCAGTAGATCCCGGCTTACTGTGGCATACCAGGAAATGAGTTAGCAAACAGACTTGCAAAAAATGGAACATAGGAGAAACAACACACCCATTCATTGTCATTACCAGAAATTAGAACACTTATCAAGAAAAATACAAGGGATTGTGGAGAGAACAAACTAACAGTAAACATCCACAAGACCCCATCAGCAGACTCAACAGAAAGCAACATACAACAATTTTCAGTCTGCAAACAGGACCATGCAGGCTTAACTACCACATGCATACAATAAAGTTTGTACAGTCCCCACAGTGAGCCTGTCAAACAGGACCACAAACACTTGAACACATTCTGCAGACCTGCCCACTCAACCTACAACTTCGAAAAGACACCTGGCCTCAAAGGCAAAGTGTGCAAAGCTTTGGGAAACAATGAAGGACCTGCTACTGACATGCGAGTTCATAGCGGCAATCTACCTGATGTTTTGATCTGAGCATACGAAACTGAATGCAAAGAAGAAGAAGAAAGACAAAAATAGACATTTAGCATCCAAGTGAGGTACTGGTTCTTGTCAGTGTATGACACTATGTGGTTCTTTAAAAAGGCCTTTCAATTAAGCTGTGTCTTATACAAAGAAATGTAGGTCAACATGTACCGTTATTTCTCAAAGTTGCCCACGATATGGAAAAAAAAAAAGTAAACTGTAATTCTTACACCGCAAGTTTTACACTCAAGGTGATAAAATATGGCAAAATACAGAAAAAAGTCAGCCCAACATCATTTCGGACCACACAGAAACAGAAAAAAAGGAAAGTGTGCACGTGAAAAAAAGTGCAGAATGGCAGGAATTAGAGACTTTTGCATTAAAATGTGTGCAAGAATTGAATCTGAGTGGTTTTTTTTTTTTTCCAGGAAATTTTCTGTCAGTTTTTGGAGTGCATAAAGCAGCACCCTACACAACGACGAATACTGTACTTGAGTTTTCCTGTGGAAGACCGTCTTAACTTTTTGTTGTTGTTGAAAAAAGCTTGCATAGATCAGAATCCAGTTGGTGTAAACCCTTCTATCTAACCAAAGGGACTGTGTCATAAAATTCTTTTATAATACAAGCTTAAAAACCAGTACGAGGTAGAAGAGTAGTACTGAACTTCACGTCTGTGCAGATACATATTACCATGTCTCCAGATGATGATGATGATTCACCACATGACACATAGCCTGACTGGAGTTAGACCAAGCCTGGCAAATTTTCCCTAAAGGGCTTTAGGTATTTCAGAATCAACATAAGACCACAAGACGGACCCCAAGAAAACGGTGGAGGGATACTATACAGACAGTTCTACAAACAGCTGCAGTCACCAACTGGAAAGAAATAAAAAGCAACCAAAAAGATGAGAGAGGTTTGTGGTGGTGGTGAAGAAGAAGAAGAGGGGAGGGAAGAAGAAGAGGAGGGGAGAAAATTAGGAGCAGGAGGAGTGATACGAAGAGGAAGAGGAGGAGAATGAGGAGGAAGAAAATTTTGGGAAAGAAGAAGAGGAGGAGAAGGAAGATAATGATGATACATATAATTAGGTCCAGAGGTAAGGTGAGGGATTGTATACAAGTTTATATACGTATCTTGGCAGGATCTGAAAATACATATTTTATTTCATACTCATTTTCCATCAACCAATTTTTAAACATGAAAACTGAATGTCACACAGACAAGGGTCAGGCGATGTTTTAGTGATAATGATAAATAATTCATCACCTGCCTTCATTTCCACCATGTCTGTATTAAAAACAGGGAAATGTTTAATTTCAGCCCTTGCCAAACAAATCTCCATTGTACAATCACGAGATTTATCTCTATGCATCAAGTAAATTGTAACAACACTATTACGATTAATGCGCAAATTGATGTATGCCAGATAAATTCCATCCACAGCTGCCGTAAATTTCCCAGTAGATGAGTCAAACTGGCACCCAGACATTAATCTAGGAGACTGATAAGAACTTACACTCTGACGCTCATTTAAAGAATTAATGAGACACTTGGTTTCTGCTTTGAATCCGACGACTCCAACTTCTAGACAGAAGAATAATTATCTGTTATTAAATAAGTAAAACAATCCAATTAGACAAAAAATAAATTTTAAAGTTTACCGATAAAATCATAATGTAACCTTTTTAATTTTTGCTAATAAGCTATCACTGTGTGGTAGCTGCATTTGATATTTTAAAGTCAATTGCAATATTTAATTATTTTATTTGTTAGGTGTATTTTCTCTAGCCCTGGACCAAATATTTTTTATTTATAAGGCAGCAATATTGTGTCTATCCTCCACCGGTCCCTGTTACGTGACCTGGTCATCATGAGAGATGATACCTTGGCTTAGCTCTTTGCAGGCGTTATTCTATTACACTCCCAAAAGGATACGAAAGAGGAAATGCCTCTTTTAAAAGTATCAGATTGTTTGGCTGTCCAGGAAAATTTCAGTATTCTTTTATAAAAATACTTTTCTGAGGTTTAAAGAATTTTTTCATTGTACAATCTATTATCCAATGGAATGCATTCAAATACATCCTCAAGCTTACATATATAGAAAGCGCCCTAACCCCTATAACATCTTAATATAAGGCATTTCCTTAAATGAAAGACCGTCTCATCGACAGATATGACTTTAGTGTGACATAGATCAACATATACAAACTCCCACTCTCTCAAGATGTGTAAAAACAACAAGAATGCATTATCGCTGCAGTAAAAACCACCAATAAGAACTTGCTGCACTGTGTCTTGACAGGTGACAGATCACCAGAGTGATGTTTGGAAAGTGCCAAGGGTGCTTAAATTAAACATTTATGAGTTAACTTCACACAGCCACTGGCTAGAATTTAGACGGCAATATTATACAGCAGAAAAATGAGTTACGGGTCCAGAAATCAGCCCAGCAGTTGCAGCAAGGCCAATGGATTGGCCTCGAGAGTACCCTGCCACTAGTACTCACATGGAGTGAAATCTGACGAATGGCTCCAGTGCGACTGAGCTTTGTCATTTGATCTGCTTATAATGTGTCACCCTGAGGCGCTAACATGGCCAAATGGCGTGCCACCAATGACTGCATGTCCCTAATGAAGAGCTAAACAGACGCTCGAGCACATCTTGTCCGCGTGCAAAAAAGCCCTAGGCCAGGGACGATACGCATGGCGCCACAAAAAGGGCCTGAAAGAGTTGACCGACATTTTAGACAAAGCCAGGATGAGGGCCAACACGAGGACCAGTTCTAACGTCCCTTCCACGCACTTCCTCAAGGCTGGACGGATTTATAAAGGTACATTCAACAAAGTCACATATGCTCAATCCATACTCCACTGTGCGAGGGACTGGAAACTTGTGGTCAACCTGTCTGGTTTGAGTAATACCCTGAAGCAATCTGAAAGACTGGCCTGAGACCAGACATGGTTTTGCACTCTGCGGCAGAACGTCAGTTTATTCTGATAGAGCTCAGTGTGCCGTACAAGTCGTGGATCGAAGAGATACGCCCGTACAAGCTAGTGAAATACAGCAACCTGATGGCCAGTCTGAAGGAGCGATGAGGGGTAGGCCTATGTAGTAAAGCTCTTCGTCGTCGAGGTAGGGGCAAGATGGCTAATCTTAGCCTTCACTTACAATTTACTAAAGAAGCTCGGCTTGTGAGGAAATGATAGTAAATGAGCGCTAAAGCATCTGGGTAAAGATGCTGAAAGAGCTTTGAGCTGACGTAGGGGATAGGCCTCGGTAAATTGGTCCAAGCCCCTGATGGAAAAGAACTCTAAATCCCTAAAACCCAGGTTGTCCGATCAACGTCTGCCAGTGTCACTCTGCCAACTGTCAAAGTTTTTCCGATAAATGTCTGTCTGACGAACAACCGTCCATTTGCCAATTTGGCCATGCAGGAAGGCGCTCAATTTGCTACTGCAGTGACGATATATATAACACCATAACCTCAGCACCAGTTACAAAACTACCACTTTGTATTGTCTAAAAAGGGCAGCAGAAGAAGTCCTGGCGTCATGACCCAGGATGCCCTGCCTCCCGAGATTGTCTACTAGGATAATGGGCCGAAACAATTGTGAAAAGGGGAAACCAACTAGTGATGATCGATAGATTCCTGCTGTATATGCTCTCACTGTGGAGTACTTCTTATACTTATTATATGTGAGAAATTACATCATATTTTGACAATTTATGAATATAATGCTTTTGAACTGAGATGCAATAGAGGGCATGGTACTGTGAAAGAGGGTTTAGGCCCAATTAGCTTGAAGACTGACACAGGATGTAAGTGACACCTTGGACAGGACACCTGGTAGAGCACATGACATGAGGCACCTTGGGCAGGAAAGTGCATGGGGTGGGAGAGAGATGACGCAGGACCCAGTTTTTTTTTTAGAATGGCTGTGATGGGAGTAATGTTCTGTAAAGGATCTGCCACAAGATGATGATGATGAATACAATATAACGAGCTGAAATCGTTAAAATTATTCTGAAACAAATTATTCTCATCAACCTGTGATAATAATGGTTATATTTAGCATTTAATAATGACCTTATCCAGCTGTTCGTGGATATAACTATGTAACAATTGACCATACAAAGAGTGGCTTAGATTTTAACATCAATATCAGACACCGGTCAACACTTTTTGCCTAACCAGACAATGTGGGCATGATCACATCACCACCATCATCATAATCATCATCATAGTCAGCTTCCAGTTTTGCCGTCAAGCATTGTGGGGAAGAATAACTGAGATTTATTGCTCAATGGGTAGCACTGGTTTCTGTCATTCTGTGTCAATGTAGAATGTATTTAATGGCATCAATCTAGTCTCCCTTGGACGTCCTCTTGCTATCAGGCCAGATCTTCTTAAGTGTAGTGTCTGTGCTGGTAGTTGTTGTTGCTGCATTCTGACAAGATGACCAAACCATTTGATCTTCTGCTTCTCAATGAATTTGTTGCCTGCCATTGCGTCCTGTCCTTCTGACAGTGTATTTTTTGACAATGTCTTGGATGCATACATTTGCAGCTTTCAATTTTATGTAGGTTAGCCTTTGATAATGTCCAAGATTGGCACTAGCAGCACAGTGTTGGAATGAATACGCTGTTTACAATTTGTTTCCTGGCAGTTATAACTAGCAGATAATTATAAAATCTTCGGATCAAAGATAAAGGCTGTTATTACTTCAGTGGCCAGATCAGAGACTAGGCCATGGTTTCTCTCTCCTTTAAACGTGTTATCTTTGTGGTGTCCAGAATTAAATCTTGTCCACTGACTATCAGTCTTTCCATAATAAAAAAAATCAGCTGTGTGTATTTGTCTCCTGGTTTCTTACCTCTGGTCTGCTCTTTTGTAGCTTAAATGTTAGAGAAATCATTTCAAAATGCAATCTTCCATGTTTACCAGAGTTCGAAAAAGATTGTTTTTGTGGTTAACCACAATAAGGCAAGGAAAGTTGACACTTTTTATGTCTGCATAATGATTAATAGTCAGAAGTGATAACTTTTGACGAAGTATCCACATGCATAACATTGCTTGTTATAGTTCAAAGGCATCATCATGTACATAGACTGTACTGATAACATCACTGCGTGTCTTTGTCGTCGATTTGATTTTGTTTCCCTTTATGAGCTATAAGAAAAGTATTCACATCTTCTATATGTGCTGACAGATTGTTGGGACAGACATATGTCCACCATAGGGCTGCATGGCCTCAAGGCATGATCTCCGCCTCGAGTGCTAGAGGTTCCGGGTTCAATCTCAGGTAAAGGCTGGCATTATCCCGTGGTCTTGGACTTGTAGTAATTCTCCCTGGTCTCTGGGTAGTGAGATTGGACTCCCGTGTGCATTGTTGTGTATGTAAAAAAAAAAAATCCCTTTGCGGAAATCGAAAAGAGTAGCCTAACGGCGCTGCATGGGTAAAATTTGGAGTTAAAAATCTACCCAAAATATTTCAGGATCTTCGCTGGTGCCACAGAGCATGTGCACTGTGCTAAGCTTCTTCGGATCCACACGAGTTAGAAGAAGAACGGATCACTTATGGGTTAACCCGTGTGCCATGATGTTGATCCGTTGTTCAAATCTTAAACCTCTAATATATGTCCAACAGCAGACTGCATTAACTATGGAAGTCTATTGTATTTCTTTGCTTAATGCAGTTAGGCATCGCAGGCACGGCTAATGATCCGTTTCCGGAATAGTGCGCGACCGTTAGCTTGTTGTATGGTGATATTTTTGAGTTTCAGCAAGTTGTTAACTCCATCTGTCCATATTCTTCTTGGCCTTCCTCTGCCTCTTGATTTTTACATTCTCATGTTGCATGCTCTTGCAACCAGTGACACTGGGTTCATTCTCACCATATGGGTAAATCATTTCAGACTTTGTTTTTCAATAAATAGAAGTGCCCTTGGAAACTAAATCTTAATTTTCCTGTAGAAAACATCACTGGGGGTACAGTATCTACTGTTTGTGTGTCTAGAATACTTGGAAACTAAATCTTAATTTTCCTGTAGAAAACATCACTGGGGGTACAGTATCTACTGTTTGTGTGTCTAGAATACTTGGAAACTAAATCTTAATTTTCCTGTAGAAAACATCCCTGGGGGTACAGTACCAACTGTTTGTGTGTCTAGAATACTTGGAAACTAAATCCTAATTTTCCTGTAGAAAACATCCCTGGGGGTACAGTACCTACTGTTTGTGTGTCTAGAATACTTGGAAACTAAATCCTAATTTTCCTGTAGAAAACATCACTGGGGGTACAGTACCTACTGTTTGTGTGTCTAGAATACTTGGAAACTAAATGCTAATTTTCCTGTAGAAAACATCCCTGGGGGTACAGTATCTACTGTTTGTGTGTCTAGAATACTTGGAAACTAAATCTTAATTTTCCTGTAGAAAACATCACTGGGGGTACAGTACCTACTGTTTGTGTGTCTAGAATACTTGGAAACTAAATCTTAATTTTCCTGTAGAAAACATCCCTGGGGGTACAGTACCAACTGTTTGTGTGTCTAGAATACTTGGAAACTAAATCCTAATTTTCCTGTAGAAAACATCCCTGGGGGTACAGTACCTACTGTTTGTGTGTCTAGAATACTTGGAAACTAAATCCTAATTTTCCTGTAGAAAACATCCCTGGGGGTACAGTACCTACTGTTTGTGTGTCTAGAATACTTGGAAACTAAATCCTAATTTTCCTGTAGAAAACATCCCTGGGGGTACAGTATCTACTATTTATGTGTCTAGGTTATTTAGAAACTAAATCCTAATTTTCCTGTAGAAAACATCCCTGGGGGTACAGTATCTACTGTTTATGTGTCTAGGTTATTTAGAAACTAAATCCTAATTTTCCTGTAGAAAACATCCCTGGGGGTACAGTACCTACTGTTTGTGTGTCTAGAATACTTGGAAACTAAATCCTAATTTTCCTGTAGAAAACATCCCTGGGGGTACAGTACCTACTGTTTGTGTGTCTAGAATACTTGGAAACTAAATCTTAATTTTCCTGTAGAAAACATCCCTGGGGGTACAGTACCTACTGTTTGTGTGTCTAGAATACTTGGAAACTAAATCCTAATTTTCCTGTAGAAAACATCCCTGGGGGTACAGTACCTACTGTTTGTGTGTCTAGAATACTTGGAAACTAAATCCTAATTTTCCTGTAGAAAACATCCCTGGGGGTACAGTACCTACTGTTTGTGTGTCTAGAATACTTGGAAACTAAATCCTAATTTTCCTGTAGAAAACATCCCTGGGGGTACAGTATCTACTATTCATGTGTCTAGAATACTTGAAACTGGTTCTTGATATAAGCATGTTTACGCATCTCAGTCATGTAAAGCAAAGGACCCTTTTCAACATCTTCAGCATATTGGACATGCAATGTTAGACATATATTTTATAAACCAATCAGCACTCTAGGGGGTGATGGGGTCAGCATCATGCTGGCTACCTTTACTTCACAGGACCTGGTACCCATTTAAGGCTAGGCTGACCTGGGAGCCAAGGTCAGTTAAAAAAAATTCCAGCTTCGTTTGGATTTGAACCCATGACCTTCAGATCCACAGGCAAGCAACTAGCCGCTACACCGTGATTGCTTCCTACATGGTTTAATAATATATTCACTGTGCATCATTATACAATGTTCATCATGAAACATTTTACTCACCTAACTTTCTGACACACGTCTCAACAACACCAGATAGATCTTTTAGCTCTGTCATCACCGCTTGTAACTGAAAGGGAAAAGCAAAACAGAGAATGATCACTTGTTACAGTTAAGTACATGTTTTACAAATACATTCGTTTTCTCACATTGTTATTGCTAGCACCTAGAGCAAGTGTTTTTATCTACACTTAACACAGATATATCTACAATCAACACAAATATATTTACACTCAACAACAATATATCTACACTCAACACAAATATATCTACACTCAACACAAATATCTCTACAGTCAACACAAATATATCTACAATCAACACAAATACACTTTGACTTTTCATTTTCTTTCTGCATCAACCTTCATCATGTGCTGCTTGACATTGCAGGTGGGCTTTCACAAGTTTCAGCTCGGTATGTTACGGAAGTTCAGGACAATACAACAACTGCCTTCATGAGAATTTGAGCACACGATTACTAAGCTCAAAGGTTAACATACTAGCAACCATTCTGTCTTCTTTTGTCTACTGTTTGTGCCACGAATAATGCACAGAGAGGGGTTAGATGTAGTTTTTTGGGATGCTACAAGATGTGCAACTGCAACTACTGTCCAGTTTAACTTGTTTAATTAATACAAACAGACACTGTATTGATCGGCACTCATAGAAAGAAGCAAAAAGATAGAAAGACACTCTAGACAATATAAAAATTCAAAGTTATAATTACTGTGCTGGGAATTGAGCCTGCCACCTCCAAATAACGAGTGCACCTCGCTATCGAAACAAGTGTACTAAGAACATAGCCAGCTAGTTTATTTAACTTGTTTAATGTTTCTTTGACTCCATCCTGCCATCTTTTCCTGGGTTTTCCTTTTTCCCCGTATCTGGAAATTCTCCTATAACATGGTTGTGATGCAGCCGGCGGGAAACCATTCTGACCAAATATCCTGCACCACAACAGCTCACAGACATACAGAAGTGTATGTAAACTAATAGGACATGCATAAACCAGCTTTCATAAAGCCACAATTAAATTAGTAGGTTAAATAAATTCCCATGCACTGTCTAGAATGAGGGAATAGGCTAAAGATGTCTGCTTTTGAAAGGGTCTTAGTTGCCCATGCAGCAAAGAACACCTGTCCCTTAATCAAAATATTGAAATGATGTACAAATACAAGTGTGGAGATACTATGGCATTCTGCTTTTAGACTGTCTAGTTTCCTCTGATGTTTTCTTCTTCTTCATTCTTACTTTTATATGGACACTGTTTCTCTTTTTCAGTGTCAGGTTCTGAAGAGGCATCTGTGTTTATGTAAACAAACAAATTACCTGTCTGACATTCTCACTTTGGCTTGTGGCTCTGCCATTCAAAATATCACGTAATTTCTCCAGTGGTGCAAGTCTATTTATAAATAGCTCACGTACCACCGTGTACTGAAAGGTAAAGACAAAGTAAAAACACTGGATCAAAGCGACAGTTTACTTAAGCATAACATCTACCAGCGATTCTCATATGAACTGAAGCCCTGATATTTTGCCGTATCATGAAAAATTTAATTAGAAACCAATATTTTCATAGCCAGAAGTGTTTGGTATGGTAGTTAATATGGGCAGGTTTTATTTTCTTGCTATTTGTATCATAATCAGCATGTTGCATGTAATGCTGCTCCTATCATGGCCTGCTTAAAAAACAAAAACAAAAACGTCCCTTGCCAGTTCTAAGGCCTCCTTTATTTTCATGCTTCTTTTTCAGCATTCTGAGCTCTGAAGGTTCATTGCTGCAGATATCACCAGCCTCTCATCATCTGGACTTCTCTTTACAGGTGGCGACTCCAAGTGTCTGTAAGTAGTGCAAGTTTAACAGGGCAGAAGTGTTTCAGTTTTGCTGCAGTTTACCAGCCATTTTTCTGTAATGCTCACTTGTGGTAGAATGTCTGTAAATTGTCTTCTTATTTATCCACAGTAGTATAATAATTTTTCTTTAACAGTTAAGTTCTCCAGAAGTTCTCCCTCTTTTCATGCTTATCTTATCCAGACCTTGGCTTTTTGCATGTCCAAAATAATTCAGGACAATTATCCTTATGTGCCTTCTTAACCAGTGTTCATCGGTATTGAGTTCTTGTTGGACAGATCGAATTGTTCCTCTTTCTGTCCAATGAATGTTATGAATCTTATGCACACACCCGTAATCTGGTTTGATCTGGCAAAATTATATATGACTGCCACACTTTGTTGTGCGGCGCACTATCACACGCACGCCCACACACAATCATAAAAATAAAGGTAACCGAAATCAAGCTGGCACCAAAGAATACAATAATTCAACAATACGACCAAGAAAATCAGTGAAATAAAGGAAAGATACATGCAGATTCAAACAAATCCTTCAGCCAAAGACTTTATCCATGAAAAACCCTTGAAATAATTCCACAAATAAGCAATGCACACAATGAAGATTACCTCTAAGTAGGATAGTTTTAATTCATATTTGTAGTGTAGGTAAGACCTGTAGTGGAACTTCACCTCTGAGGAATGGTACATTATGTAAGTAGGTCATAATTCATTACATGCTGACTCTATGGGGTTTGTCTAGGCTGGTAATGTTTATTTACAAACTCCAATGGAAAGACCTGGCAGTTCATCCATTTCTGGACTTTGGCTTTGTTGCAGGTTCTGAGTCTGCATCCATTTTTTCAGACCTAAAAAGTCTGTTATTTTATTGCCTCTAAGGCACTCCGACTTAGAAGGAAAGGATGGTAATAGTACCCCGCCACACTTGTATCAAGTTCTATGTATTTCACTATAACAGATCAAACGAATTCCTGCGGATGCAAGAAGGAAGGGGAGAATACATGTTTGCTCATGGTGAAATGACAACAGTTCTAAGAAACAACAATTAGCCACATATTAACTAGGGACCTGAAGTCAAGATCACCCCACCCCATCAGTTTTTTAAAATAACCCCCCTGGCACATTAGGCAAATGATGGTAGACTCAGTTGTTTTATAGACCAATCCTCCCTCGATAATCGTTGTGGTCAACATTGGCCTTTAGTTCGCAGGACTTTACCTGCTACCCATTTTAGGCTGGGTCAACTTTGGAGCCAAAGTCATTTTTTTTTTCAAAATATACTCGATGCGGATTCGAACCCATGATGTTCAGAAAAGCAGGCAAAGAATCTAGCCACTACCATGGCTCCCCCAGATCAACAAGACATAATTATAATACTTACATTTGTTCCCATTCCATCCAGTTGTTGTTCTACTTGTCTGATATTATCGTGCATGTCCTTCTCTATTGTATTTAAATGATTTTCCAAAGCCACTATTTTATGTGTTAGTGCAGCCTTTTCCAATTCATTATTTGTCAAAGTCTGTGAGACAACATTAATTTGGTCAGATCTTCTTGACAGATCTGCATTAATTTGCTCAATTTTGTCTGACAGCTCAGTGTCAATTTGATCATATTTTTCTGTCAAGTCTGTGTTAATTTCGTCAACTTTTTCTGACAGTTCTAAGTTAACTTCATCAATTTTTCCTGAAAGGTCTGCATTAATTTCATCAATACGGCCTGACATGTCTGTATTAATTTGATCAACTTTGGCTGACAAGTCTGTGTTAATTTTATCAACTTTATTTGATAAGTCTATGTTACTTTCGTCAACAAGTTCTAAAATTTCTGTTTTAATCTCATCAACTTTGCCTGTCATTTCTGCATTTATTTCATCAATTTTGTTTGACAGGTCTGTTTTAATCTGATCAACATCTGACTTCAAACTCTCCATTTCTTCTTTTAAGTCATGTATCTTCATATTCATTTGCTGATCATATCCATCTTGTTTTGCTAAAACATTTTGAAGCTGGTTGTATAAATCTCCATATCTCGGTTGCTGGCCACATTCTAAATTTCGGTCTCTGCAAGTAAAATTGTTTAGGATATCGGCACTGTCTTCTCCTGAACTATCTCCTTGGGATGTTAGAGTTTTACACCTGGAGACATCATCTACAACAGAAACCATTTCTACATGTTTCTGTTGACGAGTGAACTCATCTTCTGCAATACAGTCTGTTTCACGCAGAAGACAGGAGAAATGCTCACCTGTGAAACAAATAAAAATTCACAGCACATTATTCGACATCGCTACACATAACTAGACATTAGAAACTGATGTTAAATTACCCCTCAATTTTCTTTAAATTTCTGAGATTTTACACATCATAGTAGTAACATCCATATGCATAATATATTATTTATCTCTTGTTTTAACATGGAATGGATCAGTAAGTGAAATGTATGGGTGTTCGCACTGAGCTGAAAGGGGGGAACAGTCAAGGAAATGAGTGGCACCTTTGCTGTTCAAAGTGGTCTCACAGAAGTTCGTGATTATGGATGTAAAAACTGCATTAGCAAGGCTGGGTTTTCAATAGTTCACAAATGCTTGCTTAATTAATGACTCAATAAATAGACTCAAGAAAATCCAGGCTGACTGTCAGACATAAACATTTAAACTAAGGGCACAAGAGCTTTGATTCTTCTTCTTCTTCTTTGTTCACCGGCTGTAAACTCAGGAGAAAAGTCCTGGTTGTTGGTCCAACTTGACTATGGCTTTGTGCCAGGGTCTGAGTTTTGCGTGTACATCCGTTTTACTGGTTTATCAGTGTGCAGTTGGTTGTTCCGTGCCGCTCAAGCAGATGCACTCCGACTTTGAAGGAAACTCCTACGACATGCTTGTTGGAGAGGCAGTGGGTCTATTCTGGTTTTCTCCCCATACAGGGACCCCAGAACCCACACATGGACTTTGATAAATCAACACAGAGCATGTCTTATCAGTTGTTTTACACTTGTGAAGCTACTTATGAGACTGGATAACCTATGGATCTGTCCGGAGTGCTCTGATTATAGTACTCACTATGTAGTGAGACGTGATGGATGATATTGTTCCGTTCCTTTCTCCATCAACAATTGCTGACTTTCCTCATTCATTCATAATTCTAACATTTCCAGTGCCAAATTGTAAGAGTTTCCCTGGTAAAAAGAGGTAAGCCTGCAACCAAGGCTCCTTCAGAAATTTAGAATCTAGAAGAGTCTCATTTAATCTTGATTGGCTGAATAATTCTTACTTGCTTTTTTGGACTTCTTTGTAGACTTTTGCAGCTAAAGTTCAGGGTAGCCAAAGTCAAGACCAACATTCCTTAGGTGTGTGTTTGACATCCTTGTTAAATTACAATGGCTCGTTTATGTTTCCCCGCAAAGACCATGGCAATACACAGATGCTTTAACATTATATATTTTAAAAAAAATTAAATATTGATGATTTCAAAAAGGCATTTCAGTAACCAACACCAACACTCTAAATACATAAGTGTATTTTTAAACTGTGAATACTTAAAAATTATATTTACTTTCTTGGAATCTTCAAAGAGAACTTACGTTCCATTTCATCCAATTTCAAACTCAGAAATGCCATTGCCTTGTTTATAATTATGTGAACTTGAAGAAAAGTGGACTGATTTCTGTCTACACTTCTTGTCCACTGTCTTCCAGCACTGATTACCTGAAATGGGTTAACACTTCATTTATAAACTTTAAAAAAATATGTTCTGGATACAAGTAAGAAGGTAGGTGTGCTAACTTAACTCTTTGAGTTCCAGATGGTTTAGCACCACACACCCAAGGGGTAGACAAGAGAGACTAAAATCGGCGCATCATTCGTTCATTGGATTTTAAGGCAGTAAAATATGAACGTATGATGCGTTCCTTGGGACTCAAAGAGTTAACCAAGCTGTAAGAGGAAGTATGTGTTTTCAGATCTGGCTGATCTCCTTGTGTGGGTTCCGGGGTCCCATTGCATGGAAAGGGGTGAGGGTGGTGGATGGGGAATAGACTTACTGGCTCGTAACAAACATGTTGTAAAAGGTGACTATATATGCGTCCTTCCTTCAAATGTGCCTGAGAGGTGAGAAACCAAGACTCTGCCTACAAATCAGCCAGATCTGTAAAACAGATGTGCACGCAAAACTCTTAAGTTCTGGAATAAAATCAAAGTCCATAAGTAGACGAGCAACAAGAACTTTAAGCTGGAGTTTACAATCGGTGATCACAAAGAATAATGCCCCCCCCCCCCCAATTGTTCTAAAAGAGAGTTCTTCAAGAAGATACAGTTTGTTGTACTTTGAACATGTAAAAAATTAAATATTAGAAAAGTCAGAGGCAGAGTAGAAGGAGCCCAAAGTAAAAATACATTTAAGAAGTGATAGATGATTTACGTTTGACAGAATCAAAGGCAGGACATCTGGTTTGTGATAGGTAGAAATTATGAAAGAGTTATGGCAGAAAAGAAACTTTGTAATATTATCAACATAAATCAAAGAAAACAATGAAGTGATGAAAGCTGAGAAAGATACTTGTGGATATCTTTAATAAATGAGAAACAAATTTCACATGTGGGTTTCAAGGTCCTATTGTGGGGAAACAAGAATAGACCCACTACCTCCCTAACAAGATTTATCCTAGGCATCGACTGACTGGGCTCATCTTTCGAAGTCGGAGTGCATTAGCCGAGTCCGAGCGGCAAGGGACAACCAGCTGCACACAAATAAGCCAGGAAATGAATGTACACTCAAAACTCAGGCCCTGGCACAGAGCTACAGTACAGATGGACGAACAACCACGAGTTTCCGCTTGAGCTTACAGCAGGTAAACAAAGAAGAAGAAGAAGAAGAAAACATAATTTTAAAAATGCCTTGATTGTCCTATTTTATTATTTTTAGGGTTGTTTAGGGCAAGGAGTCTCACAACTACAAATTTAGGGTTGCACGCTTGTGAGGTTGCCAGGAAATATTCAGGCAAAAATCTGAAACAAACATTATTATTAAAAAATGTAACGCACGTTCACGCACAGGTGTGCGCGTACACACATATGTATATGGGGGAAAAAAAAAAATAATTTTCACTTTTAACTGGATGCTTTTCAAACTATCTAGGATATTTTACAAATCTCTAAATTGAATGATTTTCAAACCACCAAATGTGATTTTTTTTTCCAAATCAGATTGGACAAAAACCATCTACAAAATATTTATTAAATAGAATTTAAATAACAGCCATTACCTTGTCAACATACTCATCTAGAGCCTGATGCATGTGATGTCTCTGTTCTTCCATCATGTCTAAATTCACTGAAATAATCTTCTGATTCAAGTCAGTCCTTGCAGACATCTGGGAACAGAGACAAAATATAGATCTGATTTGATTTGATTCAAGAACTGACATCACACCATCGGGGCATTCCCATCTTCAGCAGCCAGTGAAGAGTTCCGAGACTAATGGTGCCAGTAGCGTTCTGATTAAACTCCGTCTTGCATTTCCTCTGAGCCTCGAGCATCTGCCAGAACTTCTAGTCACACCCCGCTGCATCAATCTCACCAGACACGCTCTCCCACAAGGCACTAACCATGTCTGCCTTATCATGCATCAGTATTCCACCAAGTTGTTGACAAATTATAGATAGATGATTACTGATCCCATATAACAGATCAGAAGTTGCAGCACTCTGCAGTGGCTCGGATGCTTGTATGTTGTTCTGGTGGGTATGCATTCAAACTTTCTTTAGTTAAGGATTTTTCAGATATTTACCTGGGCACGCAAGAAGACGCGTACTAATTTGGGCACAATGTTATCATCATCATGCAACGTGTCCTTTGCAGAACGTAGCTATTCATCATGGTCTGCCCAAAAGAAACTCGCTGAATTGCCAGCTCTATGGCATTATTCACTTTCCTCCAAAAGATATCCTCACATCCTGTGTTAGTCGGCCCCTGCCCCTCTTTACTGGTGCCATGCCTTCTATTATCTAATCTGCTGTGGTGCTTGATGTAGTGAACAATTTCAGTTTCTATGACAAGATGCTGTTTACCAGCGAATCTTCCTTGACGGTTAGACCTTTCAGGATGTCAGTATTTATTTTCTTCTTTGTCCATGGGATTCTGAGAATCTTTCTAAAGCATTTCAGCCCATTTGCTCGTATTTTCTTTTGCTGAACGTGGTTGAACTTTTGATTTTGTTACTCAAAAAAATCGGAATCGGGAACAGAGAGACAATTTAAAAGTTCACTCATGAAGTATAAGTTTAGTTAACATTATTATTATGAAATATACCAGTTGTTTTATATAGCTCTGAAACTTGTAGCACAAGTAAAAGAGATAAAGCCTTATTACAAATGTTTTAAAACAGTCATACAATGGATATTTGAACCAATCAGTTATGCAAAAAGGAATGGAAATTAAGAAGCAACATCATTTTTCATATTCTGTTTAAATTCCCCTTGATCACTGGCATCATGAGAGCTAATAGACTAATAGCTGGGCCGTACTGAGAGAATGTCAGATGACAGAGATGTAAAAACTGTATACACAAGGGAGATGAATGTTCGTAGACCACGAGACAGAGCGAGAAGATAATGGAGAGATAATATCCAGACAGACCTACAAATACTTGGCTTCACCAACTGGAACGAGGAGGCTAACCAGAAAGATGAGTGGAGGTTAATTAAATATCATCTGCAGCAGTGAACCTCCAAGGCTCGGAGTGCTGAAGAAGAATATGAAATATGTTAAATAGTAATAACTAAATGATGTTAACAATAAAATTTATCATCACTGTCGTTATCCGTCACATGGGGGAGAAGGATGGTCTTCTAGTTATCTAGAGAGATGTATCAGTTTGTGTGCCGACACACCTTTATGCCGTGCAACAAGACTGTCAAGAATCTTCTCTTGTTGTCTCCTCTATCTCTCCTTCCACAGATCTTTCCAGTGGTCACAACATGTTCTAATTTCCCTTTTCTCATAACATGGCCGAAAAATGATGACTGTCTCCTTCTGATATCTGTGATAAGTTGTCTTCGGGCTCCCGCCTCTTTCAAAACCTCTTGGTTGCTCTTTTTTGCTGTCCAAGGTATTCTAATTCTAAGCATTCTTCTTTAAAACCACATCTCTGAGGCCTCAAGAAATTGTTTGGCCTGCCTACCGATTGTCCAAGATTCACAGCCATATGCCTAAGTTAAAACTAATTACATACTTGCCTTAAATAAATAATTACACAATATAAAAAAATATATAATAAAAGAACTGGACGAACGCTATATATCCCAGTTATAACTCTTAGGGATAAACATGGTAGTTTTGAAAAATTACAGATGCGCACTTACTATTAGTATTACGCTATTGCTAAATTACTACTAGTACTACTGCAATGTTTATAGTATTAACGTATGCAACCACAATGTATGTTATTATGAACAACTAGACTAATGTACGAAATAATCATAGTCAACTAAATAATTTTACCATGGTCCTGGCAGAATTATCTGGCAGAGCTTAGAAATAAAGTTTGGCAGCAAAATATTAACGACAAGTACAAATAACTTTTCGCATGGGAAGGCGATTTTGAAACTACGAGTAAACAACACGTTGACCCACTTTCAGTTTCTCTGGTTTTCCAAGAAAAGATGTCTCTAGTTCGTGGTAGTCGGTTGGTGTGGATGCTGATCTATCTAATACAGTGGTCTCCAGCCTGGGAGGGAGGGGGGATTTAGGCTGTTTTAAAAATGAGGTCATGTGTTCGTGTAATAATCTGGTACACTAGCATTTTTTTTCAGTTAAAATATAAATTAAATAATTTGTGTAACTATTTTTAAAACAAAAACCACAGGACCAGTTTTTGTTTACATGACCAGTTTGTCACAATTCTATTTAAAATTATAACAGGCGCCTTTAATTGTAGATTAAGAACACATCCCACTTCTTCTTGATCATTTTTTTTGGGGCGGGGGAGGGGAGAGGGGCGTGAAACTTTTCACATATACCAAATGTTAAGGGGGGAAAGAGGGGGGGGGGGCGTGAATTGTACACATATACCCAATGTTAAGAGGAGAGGGGGGGGGGGCGTGAATTTTCCACATATACCCAAGGTTAAGAGGAGAGGGGGGCGTGTAATTTTCTACATATACCCAGTGTTAAGGGGGAGGGGGAGGGCATGAATTTTCCACATATACCCAATGTTAAGGGGGAGGGGGGGGGGAAATTTTCCACCTATACCCAAAGTTAAAGGGGGCGGGGGGGGGGAAGGAAAGGGCGTGAATTTTCCACACATACCCAAGGTTAAGGGGGGAGGTGGGGGGGGGGCGTGGAATTTTCCACATATAACCAATGTTAAGGGGGGAGGGGGTGGAATTTTCCACATATACCCAAGGTTAAGGGGAGGGGGGTAAAGAAAGGGCGTGAATTTTCCACACATACCTAAATTTAAGTGGGGAGGGGGGGGGGCGTGGAATTTTCCACATATACCTAAGGTTAAGGGGGGAGGGGGGGGGGCGTGGAATTTTCCACATATACCTAAGGTTAAGGGGGGGGGGTGTGAAATTTGCCACATATACCCAAGGTTTAGGGGGGGGGGGGGGGGGGTCGTGAAATTTTTCAGATATACCCAAGGTTAAGGGGGGGAGAGAGGGGGGAGGAGTGTGTGAAATTGTTCACATATACCTAAGGTTAAGTGGGGGGGGGGGGGGGGCGTGGAATTTTCCACATGTACCTAAGGTTAGGGGGGGGGGAGGGTGTGAAATTGTTCACATATACCTAAGGTTAAGTGCGGAGTGGGGGGGGGGGGAGCGTGAAATTTTTCACATATATCAAAGGTTAAGGGGGGAGGGGGCGTGAAATGTTTCACATATATCTAAGGTTAAGAGGGGAGGGGGTGTGTGAATTTTCCACATATACCCAAGGTTTAGGGGGGGGGAGGGGGGCACCTAAAAAAAATAGCAAACCACTGATCTAATATCATCATATAGTTACTGACACGTGCGGTCATCACAAGAGATCTCTGTACAGTGTTGCCACTTTTCTTTGACAAAAAACATCCAAAACGGAGTCAAACAATATCTAAAAATATCTAAATTTGCCTGGAAAAATCTATAAAAACATCCAAATGGAAAGAGTCACAAATTACATAGCAATTGATATGACTTACCCTATAGAATCATGTCCTCATCTTTACTGAAGTCTGCCTTACAAGATCCACAGGATAAACTTAGCTTGGATGAGGAAGTTGAAGCTTCATATCTAAAATGACTCTGGTATGTTTTAGCTGTTCCAATTTTTTTTTTTTTAATACGCAGTCAGGGATCTGATAAGTGGAACAGCCTTTTCCTACCCTTATCAAGCCAAAATTTATTGTCAAGATAGCATTTGAGATGTCAAATTTCAACGTGTTTCTTCGGTTAGATTCGATAAATTTACTCCAAATGAAAAACATCTAGAAATACATCTACCATCTAAACGTCAAAAACGCCATTTAAATGCAAGGAAAAACATCTGGATGTAAAACATCCAAAGTGGCAACACTGACTCCGTAGCTGCCGGTGTGTCGCTCTTATGCCTGTGGTATCTCATGTGAGTTTACATTGCATCATTTTCTGTCCTACTGTCCTTTTCCATGTTTCCATTGGTTGTCCACATCTTCTGTTTTCAATCGGCCATCCACCGAAATGTTGAGTGTTGAATTACCAGTCGAAATCATAGCACTCGGGACACTTTCATAAGCGCCCTGTCCCCATCTTTAGCAGCTAGCGAACAGTTCCAAATCCGATAGCACTAGTAACTGTCCGATCGTACATCCGTCTCGCCTTTCCCTTGAGTGTTGAGTTTCGGTCATACCTCCTGCTAAACTCCCCGCAGCGCTATTATTCTCAGACCATACTGATCTGTAGTGGGTGTGGTGATGGTGGTGGTAGAAAAGATGGTGGCAGTTCTTCTTCTTCTTTCGTTTGTATGAAATAAATTATCTATATCTGCAACGCTGTCTCTAGTATGAATTTCACTGTCTTTTGTAATTCACTAAGTGGCCAGTAAAGTTTGACTTCCACAAGTGTCTCTTTTGGCCAGAAGTTTTGCCTGTAAGCGTTGAATATGGAACAGTCTTGAAGGATGTGATCTGTTGTCTCAGATGCCAGTCCACAGGTATACATGGCTGGTTGGCCATTCTCAAATTTGTTGTACATGTGGCAGCGAAGTCGATTGTGCCCTGTTCTAAGGCGAAGGATAATGACTTGCTTTGGTCTGTCCATAATATGGTAATCTTCTTGTGCCAGTTTCGGTAACAATCTGATTGATTTGATTATTCTCTTCTCCTGTTGATAAGACACCGGTATGTCGGGTTGTTCTTCAGTTGCACCTTCCTTAGCTAGTTTATCAGCTCTTTCGTTTCCGGGAACTCCACAGTGGGAAGGTATCTAATTTACAACGGTTGCCTAGTTCGGATAATAGTGTCCGTATGCTTGGTAATTTTCCAGACTGGAGTGCCTGAAGTACCGCTTTTGCATCTGTCTATGGTGGCAGTAAAATAGTCGTAGTCTAGTGATGTCATTACTAAATTAGTGGTAGGTGTAGTAGTGGCAGCAACAGTGGTGGTAATTGTGATATTAGTGGCAGTATCTTTGTTTTGGTGGTGGCAGTAGTAGCCACACTGAAGATGGTAAATTGAACGAAGAAATTAACATTCGATGCAGTAAAGCAGGCCAAGTATTGGGACAGCTACACCTCCTCCCTCTTCTTACTGTATAGGTCAATCCCAATCAGCACAAAGAAACACCTCATACACAGCATATTGATTCCCACTGTATGCTACCAGTGCCAGACGTGCTCGCTATTATCAGGGGTACTTAATTTATAACTTACCCCTGACGTCACGGCAACGTCACGGGAGACATTCCCAATTAATTCTAGGGTGTTCAGGTTGTAGTTTCTCGCGATTTATCTACAGCCAAGTTTAGGGTTAGGGTTAATGTTAGGGTTAGGGTTTGGGTTAGGGTTAGGGTTAGTATTAGAAGACACTAGATGAACACTAAAAAAAAAAACACACACCACACAACAGCACACTTCCACCCCTTGAAATAATGGACTGTCAGGTCAGCTGTGGATTTCAAACGGGGATTTCCTGTTTGGGGTACGTTATAAATTAGGAACCTTATCAGGTCATGTATGGTATTTAGGGGAAGAATAAACCTACTGCCCCCTAATTAGCATATCGTAACATCTGGAGTAAGACAAAGATGTGTCTTATCACCACTCATGTTTATCATTTACATGGACAGTGTAATCAAAGATGCCAGGCCTAGGAACAAAAATGATAGTAACATCAACAATTTACTCTTTGCTGACGACCAGGCCTTGATTGCAGATATAGCAATGAATTTACTGCAACATATCATTTCCATGAGTGACAAATGTAAATGAAATAATACAAGAATCAACATCGAAAAGTCAGAAATAATGTCAATAGGAAGAAAAAAGCAGAATTTACATTTAGCATGAGAAATAATTTCAAAACAGAAAATCCAGTTATCTTAAATGATGAAGCAATAGAAGAAGATGAAGAATTTATATACCTCGGAAGTAAAGTTACTCCAGATGGAGATTCTGAAAAGGTTGTAACATCAAAAATAAACAAAGCAAATCAAGCATTTGCCATGCTTAACAATATATGGAAATCAAAAGGATTTAGACTGAAGACAAAAACTCAGAATATACAAAAGCAACATTTTAGAAATAATTATACAACAGTAAATGTTGGAAAATGACGGCGGGAATTACACATAAACATGAGACTTTTCAAAAAAAAAAAATGTTTAAGGAGAATTCTACGAATATTTTGGTCAAACAAGATCACAAATAAAGAACTGAGGAGGAAAACATAATGTGCATCACTGGCAAATGTTATCAAAGTAAGACGGTGGAGATGGATTTGACATGTTTGCAGAATGCCTTGTGATACTGGCCAAAACAGCTCTCCGGTGGACAGCAGATGGGAAAAGGAGACGTGGACGACCAAAGGAAACCTGGAGAAGGACAAAAGAACCGGAAATGAAGGAATGTAAACTGACATGGGATACCATGATGTCACGAGACGATCTCAGTGATTCCAGAAGTTAGTACTTGTAATAAGTTCTTCTGGTTCTAAAGAGACAGAATTATATTTACTCTGCGCTTTATCCTAATATTGCTTTAAACCGCACGGATTTCAATTGTTTCCAGTCCTTAGTCCAGACAAAGCGACTCAGTCTTGGGTAATGTTACACAATTACACCGGGGCTAGAGAATTCCCTTTCACATGCCCATGTCATAAATGTTATCTACTGACCAGACTGCTTTGAACAGACTTTTGATGAGACTAGGGGTGTAGGTTTGATTCTCACGCCAGTGTCATAATGTTATCTCCTAACACAGCCTGAGTGGGGCCCTTTTGAACAGGGGAATTGAGCGGACTGTAGACATTGAGGCGAGGAGAAGTTTAAAGT